ACCAAGTATATAAAGTAAAAAAATATGTATCAGATATTTTTTTTTCGAGAACTGCAACAGATGTAAGTTTCATCAGATTCGGTAATTTATACTTTGGAATTCCTTTTTGTATGTATAAAAGACATTGTTAACTGCAAAACCTCTAATGAACTCAGAATTAAATTATCTTGTAAAAAGAACTTATCTAGATTCACATAACTAAGGTTTTTTTTATCTTATCTACAATTTTTATTTTTAGCTAGTAAAAGTGCTGAATATTTAATTCATCATTATTTACAAAATATATGCAAATAAATTGTTCCCTGCTATAGAGATTTGATGCTTGCTGGTACACAACAATCAGTAGAACTGAAATTAGCCTTAGACCAGGAACAATTGAAAAGCAAAAAATTAGAGGAATCAATGCGAAAACTGGACGAAGAAATGAAACGTACAGATGAATTATTATATCAGATGATACCGAAACAAGTAGCAGATCGTCTCAGGAACGGAGAGAGCCCAATAGACACATGCGAGGTAAGAAACGACACATCTTTCTTCACTTTTGTACATTTTGTACATTCGCATGTTTTTATTATTCGATACTTGATGTACAATTTAATCGTTGGATGAAGACGATCGCGATTAAGCGAGATCTGATTGAAAAGAAAATGATTCTACAGGGTGCTTCCTTTATCCCGCAAAATTGGAATATTTCGTGAAGGACTGAACCTATCAAGAAAATCTTTCAACAAAAGTTGTTTGGTATAAAGGGGGACACAATATGGTGCAAATTATTTTTTTTCAGGAAAGGTGGTGGAGAAATTTCAAAGTTAAGTTCATTTTTTTTAAAAGGAACCATATTTTTTTTTCATAGTACGATGGTAGTTGTTGAAACGAATTCAACGACCTGCCATATGAGGTCATTTATTGTTGTAAAATATTATAAATTCTGTTATAAATTTGTGAGTTCCTAAGGAGTCAAGTAAGCCTGAATCGCTGCACGCTGTAAACAAAAATCTAACTTTTCATCTCTCTTTATACTTCTCAAGTTCCCAAATGTTACAACTCGAAATATTCACAAAAAGCTGTCGTTACTAGCATATTAAATCCTACGCATGTGTGCGTATTTGTAGCACAATCACAAGCATAGTTGACACGTTCATAGTTAGGACGCGACGGCTGGATTAAAATTACTACCCCAAACCCAATACTACAGCCCCTAGTCAAAAAATTGGGGTCACTGACAATTTTCAACATCTTTCGTATTTTTAGTAAAACATAAAGGCTTGAACGTAATTTAATAATAATTTTTATTAACTACTGAAGTACACACATACATATTACATACATACCTATTAATAATTTATATTTCCCCCCTTTCCTTTGATTTTATTAACTACTGAAGTACACACATACATATTACATACATACCTATTAATAATTTATATTTCCCTCCTTTCCTTTGATTGTATCCTTTCCGGCATACTCTGTATGCACTGTTTTATCATGTCCTTTATGTTTGGACGATTTTGCCAAATATCCAGAATTTTTTCTTTAAATCAACTAATGTGCGACTGGTGATGTATGTACATATGTATATACAAGTGTTTTAAGTATACTCCAGACCCGTTGCCTGGTCACGGGAATATGGGGATTTTCTTTAATGAGAGTAATTCTCATTAAAGAAATTCTGATTCCCATCCTGCATATATCTGTACTGGGATCTCCGTCCACACACAGATGTTACGGGTTTACGCGGTCTGTCCTCACATGGAGCGTAATACTTGTTTGGGTTTGTGGATCAGTCAAAACGTTCACCGTATGAGGGTGATACGTCGTTGACAACGAATCCGACAGGATTGGAACCGTCGGCGTACGTGGTATATACGCCGTTCTCCAAAGGATGGAAAAGGTTGGAGGTTCAACGTGTGCAGTTAACACGTCGCTGGCAAGGTTTGTAGTGGACCGGTCAGAACATTCAACGCATGTGGTTCTACGTCGTTCTCCAACAAGTCCGATAGAATTGGAACCGTCGTCGTACGTGGTATATACGCCGTTCTCCAAAGGATGGAAAAGGTTGGAGGTTCAATGTATACGTTGACGGTGTGGGGTGGTGGACCGGTCAGAACGTTTAACGCATGTGGTTCTACGTCGTTCTCCAAGAAGTCCGATAGAATTGGAACCGTCGGCGCACGTGGTATATACGCCGTTCTCCAAAGGATGGAAAGGGTTGGAGGTTCAACGTATACGTTGACGGTGTGGGGTGGTGGACCGGTCAGAACGTTCAACGCATGAGATTCTACGTCGTTCTCCAACAAGTTCAATAGGATTGGAACCGATGGCGTACGTGGTAAATACGCCGTTTCCAAAGGATGGACAAGGTTTAGTAATTGTGAGGCCAGTACGTACCGTAATGTCGGATATACCTCGAGCGGTTAAGATATATCCTTTGTGAGTCTAGCAATTCCGTTACTAATGTTACGAGGAGATGGTTAATTGAATATAGGCTATGCAATTCTACAACAACTATATTCTAATAATATTCAATTGTGGTTACAATAAGATTACAATGTTTAAATATGAATTACAATGGTTGATTCTTGGCTGAGCAAGAATCTTCCTTCTCGACATTACACGATGAGTACGCGGGGACGTCGTAGACAAGTATGTCTAGTTGACACTTACGAATTTAGTATTATACTGGGTTGCTCGAAAGGGAATTGAGCCCGATCTTGCTCGTGTCGAACGATGACTATACAGATACTGTGCTACTCTAACGTTCAGGGTAACTCTGAAAAGTGACTGCCACTGAGCCCCGAAAATCATGCCCTTATATACACCAAAATTTGTATTTTCTGGGTGGTGGGGGGCCTAATTTTCCCATGAGACCGAAGTGCGTTCGTTTACTTTATCTCAAGGGGGTGAGCTCTAGGCGGATGTCTCGGCGCCGCCGTGTCGGCTAGTCTGCGTACGTAACACAGATATGTAAGACGGCAGAAAGACAGTGTTTATGATTTCCATATGTTGTCAAAATACGAAAGATGTTGAAAATTGTGAATGGCCCTAATATTTTGGCCAGAGACTGTATAATCAAAAAATAAGAATTGGGTTTGGTTAAATTAAAATTAGATTTGAAACGCCTACAGTCAAAAAAATACCTAACTTTACCTCCGTATCCCGCAATACGCCCATTATTTTAAATATATGTTATTTAGTTATATCGACTCAATGTTTGTCGAAAGCCAAACTTGTAATTCAATTATCTTTTCTTTGCCATCCTACAAAGATTAAATATCAACTTTTATCGCCGTTATCTGTGATTTTTGAAATCCCGCATTACTCTTACGTTACGCTCCACGACTCGCTTTCTTGCCCGGCCCCACATAAACAATTGATACCAAATATGTACTCATAGGATAGACCGCAATTGTTCTTTCCTAATCGCACTTAAATTCAGGCTTGCGACAAATACTTTTTCTCTTCAAAAAACTCTACATATTCATAATATTATAATTTTCTTTACATTATTTAACTATGTTCTACCAGCCCGACTATCTTGAAACTTTTCGATAATTCGATAACAGAGCATTATTTCTGATTTTTTTGGAGGTGGTTACTCAAAGGGTTGTTTGCAAAAACCACCCCAAAATATATTGTCTACCCTTAATAATTGATTTATAATTGTGAAAACATATCTCATGTAAAGCTACTCTGTAGCTCTTTTACATTTTTTTGCCCTTTAAATATTTTAAGTAATAACTGAGAAAATAAATAAAAAAAGTTTAGAGTTTTTACCCCCATATTATCCTTGTTACGTACGCAGACTAGCCGTCACGGCGGCGCCGAGACTTCCGCCTTGCGCGCACCTCCTAGAAAAGGCCCTCAGGATAGGGTAAACGAACGCATTCCGTTCCCACGAAAATCTAGGACCTCCACCACCAAAAACCACGATTTTTGGTGTATATAAGGGCACGACGTTTCATGCCCTGGGGCTCAGTCTTCTACCAGAATGTTACTCCGTAAGTCGGAACGCGAGCAAGATCGGGTTGTAGTCCCTTTCGAGCACAGAATTACTATATTCTCAATACGGTCTAAGACACCCCCGTGGTTCGGCGCGTAAACTGAGAAAGAATATCCTCGCCCAGTCGAGAATTGACCAATTAATTATTTAACTATCATTGTAACCGATCATTGGATCGAAGCAACTTGTAACTTCGCATTTATACTAGAATGTATAGATTTGTTAAGTTAGACTCGCTCATTTCAACCAAGCCTCTCCTGAGTAACATTAGTAACGAATCAGCTAAACTCACAAGGATATATCTTTACCGCTCCAGGTACATCCGACATTACGATACGCACTGTCCTCACAACCTTCCAACCTTTCCATCCTTCGGAGAACGACGTATTAACCACGTACGTCGAAGGTTCCAATCCTATCGGACTTGTTGGAGTACGACGTATCAACCACGTACGTTGAATGTTCCGACCGGTCCATCATAAACCCCTTGTCGTCAACGTACACGTTGAAACTCCAAACCATTCCATCCTTCGGAGAACGACGTATTAACCACATACATCGAAGGTTCCAATCCTATCGGACTTGTTGGAGTACGACGTATTAGCTACGTACGTTGAATGTTCCGACCGGTCCATCACAAACCAATATTACGCTCCGTGTGAGAACACACAAAGCGTAACCCGTAACATCCTTAAACGAAGTGGTAGGTATCTGAAATTTTGCAGAATGGTTTTTCAGGCAAAGAACATTGTTCAGCAACCAACAAAAATAAAAATTGGCCTGGGGGCCGCTTATCCATGTTTACCCTGCTAGGTCTTTTGTTCAAATATTTTTTTGATAGGTTCAGTCCCTTACGAGATATTTCAATTTTGCAAGACAAAGGAAACACCCTGCATACATACACTACCGGCCAAAAGTTTGAAATCACCGAGCATTGCAATTTACATAAAAATTTCCAGAAAAAAGTCAGCGACTTTGAGAATTTTTTATCGTTCGAATCAATTGATATGAGATAAATTGATAAATGTAGAATTGAGATAAACTTCAAATCTATAAAAAATTAGCAGCAGATTTAATATTGATGACAAGTGAGAGTACATACATATGTACTTACATACATGAACATAATACGACGCTTAAAATTTATTTCAAAATAGTTAATGCTACAGTTGTTAAATATATTCAAGGTGTTATAATATTTATTTCAAAACATGAAACATAATACAAGAATATATGATATATAAATACCAATTATAAATCATTTTCAAATCAGTAGTCAAACAATTACACGAAATTTCCATTCCCACATTATAATGTAAAATTTGATAATAATTGTTCCGTTCGTAACAGAATAACACATTTGTTTCTTTTCATTTGGCACGGTTTATGACACGGTCGTGAAGAAATTCTATTTTTGAGTTGATGATGTTACCTTATTGTTCGATTTTTCATGTATTTCTCGCTAGGAGAAATTAATTTTTTACAAGCGGTCGTAGAGTTTACTCTTTTTTGTTCTCAATAGATAAAGACGCGTCATGAAACGAGAGTTTCCTAAGGGTCAATTCGACATCGAGTTTTAACGATGTAAAGAACTGTTGAATCAAAACCTGGTGGAAATTCTTGACCGTTACTAAACTTTTGCCCGGTACATATATTGCCCGTCCGAACAGATATCGCCCCACTCTTTTCAGGGAAAAGCGCGTTAAGGGCGCTTTGGAAGAGTGTTCACGATATTTGTTAGACACGCTGAGTGGCAATTAGAATTTTTCATTGTAACCAATCAGCGTGTCACAACCTTTAGCAGCGACCGAACAAATGCTGAAGAGTGAGTCTATCTATAACTTCCAAATAGAAAGGTTCTCAAAGATTCTGCAATCGCCGATCATTCGAGATGACATTATATAAAACAGTCATTCGCTTATTCAGTTCGTCAAACAGACATGACGACACCATACAATAGTCAAATCATCTAACGTATCAACATTTGATTAATCACTTGCTCCACCATTTGAAGAAGTTGCTCAAAATTAGTTTAACGGGCAATAATCGCAAACGCGAGTTCATTATTCGAAACGTGACACGCAGCGCACAACAATAATAATGTTTAATAAATTAATTATAATGTTATAATGTTAAAAATAATTGTTCATCATTAATTAATTCAAAACTGTATTTATATCAAAATTCATTCTTAAAGTGTTGAAGGATTGAAACATGTATTCTTCGGACGCTTGAACTTATGCTTCGAAAATTACAAAGATATTGTTTATTTTACTGATTTGTTGTGTACAACTTCATATGAAAATAATAAATGTGGAAAAGAAGAATTTTTTATTAGTGTTAATTAACACGTCTCATTATCACAATTATTTCAGATGTTCGACAGCGTTTCAATTTTATTCTCGGACGTAGTAACATTTACAGAGATCTGCAGCAGAATCACACCGATGGAAGTAGTGTCCATGTTAAATGCGATGTATTCCCTTTTTGACACATTAACGGAAAGGAACCGGGTGTATAAGGTATTCTTAGGTAGTAAGAGTTAGCATTTATTCATCCTCATATCAGTCTTTAGATTTCCTTTTAAGAACAATGTTTCTTCACAGTTTCTTAAAAATACAAGTTACATCTTGAATTGTCTTTATCCTTTTTGGGTACGTTCCAACGTATTTTGATAATTTCTTCTCATACAGGATATCAAACAATTTGATATAATTTTACTGTTAACTTTTATATAAATTTTTTATTTTGTTTTACTAGGTTGAAACAATTGGAGACGCCTATATGGTAGTTTCTGGTGCTCCGGTGAAGGAAAATGATCATGCAGATCGTGTCTGTGATATGGCGCTCGACATGGTTGAAGCGATAACAGACCTAAAGGATCGTTCCACCGGTATGATTGCATTGAAATATTTTAAATGTAGCTGAGTAAATGTAGCTCGTTGAACTTTTAATTCCTTTTTACAAACTTAACAATATTCCAGCAGGGTTGATTTGATTTAACATCGATGTGATCTAATAAATTAAAAAATTAAGAAGATTTTTCTTTCAGATAATAATTTGTGAAATTTACGATTGACTCTGGTATAGTTACGTAGTTTAAGATTTCCGGTGAGCTTATTATTTTTTACATTTGCTTAAAAAGTTTCAAAGCAGTGGAACTTTCATTCCACATATTGATCGTGATCGCGATCGTTGTATTTGCGTTCTTAGACGATACAGTTTTAAGAAACAAAGATATTTTAAGTCAATACTAATAGTAAAAGGAAAATATTTATTATTATTTTTCTAATAATTATAGGAAAAATTACTATTCTATGAATTATGTATAAGAAAACGTAATATATAATTTGCCATTTTGTTTTTCAGGCTTTCATCTTCAAATACGAGTCGGAATTCACAGTGGGGCTGTGGTAGCTGGTATAGTGGGCTTAAAAATGCCACGATATTGCTTATTCGGTGATTCAGTAAATACAGCATCTCGTATGGAGGCGACTAGTCAAGCGATGCAAATACATATATCACAATCCACACGAGAATTATTATCTCCCTCGTATAAAGTTAAAGAACGAGGGGAGATAGAAGTGAAGGGTAAAGGTACGAATTTTAAATTGTTCTATTTAATGTTGAAAGCTTGTACTATTTTTCGAGATCATTGGGAAAAGCTAGGAGTTTCTTTAAAAAGATTGAAAAAGTTAAGAGATATTTAAGTTAAAAGGATCTTAATTTTTACTTGTTTTTTTAATTAATGATGAGTTTTTATTTGCTTCTGAACATTAATGTTAATTAATTATTAATTTAATAGTAGTACCAATACAGGGTGTACAAAAAAGTTGAGGAAAAACTTCAGGAGCATGTAGTACTCATCAAAATAAGTAAAAAAATCTTAATAAACATGGGTTCAAAAACCATTAGTTTCGGAGCTACGAGATGTTTTCTACTATAAGCCTGTAATGGAATAACAGACTTCATTCCATATTTATATATCTAAAACCTAACCAAAGAAAAGTAAGCATAATCGTAGTAGCATTATGTAAATAAACATATGATATTATTCAGTATACAATAGTACTTACTTTTCTTTGGATAGGTTTTAGATAAATATGGAATAGAGTCTGATGATATTATTCAGTATACAATAGTACTTACTTTTCTTTGGATAGGTTTTAGATAAATATGGAACAGAGTCTGTGTTAGGTTTTCTGTAGAAACGGTTTATGGCACAATCGACCGGGAACGGTTATTTTTGAGTTCAGGATTTTCGTTTATTGCTTGCACGGGTCTAATTACATCCTGCGAGGGTCTCTAGAATTGCTTTGCTAGATTTTTAGTAATTTGTGTCCCTCGCGCTCAATAGCCTACGAACATACCATAAACCACGAATTTCCGAACGGCACATCTGTATGTAACGGTCCGCTTGCCGATTAGTCACCCGGAGGAAATTCCAGATTTTTGGGACTTCCGCCCACCCCTCGCTACCGTCTCCCACCCTTCCAAGGTGACAGCGCGCTAAGGGCGGTAAAGACGATATTAGACACGCTGTTTGGCAAATGCAATCGTTAACCATTAACCAATCAGCGTGTCCCAACAAAAATCCCTCTCACGGACGTCGGAGAGTGAGTCGTCGAACCACCACGAACAAGGAGATACCATAGATCAGTTTTCACAAGTCCCAGTCATTTGGGTGGTCCTTCGAACCAGTATCTAGACGGCACAACATCGTGCAAACATCCACAAAGCTCGAAAGTTCATCGCCACAACCACGGGCATTAACAGTCTGTTATTCCGTTATAGGCTTATAGTTGAAAACGCCTCGTAACTCCGAAATTAATGGTTTGTCGACCCATGTTTATTAAGATTTTGTCGCTTGTTTTGACGAGTACTACGTGCTTCTAAAGTTTTTCCGCAACTTTTTTGTATACCCTGTATATCGTGATACTAGTATTGCGTGAATAATAGTTATTATTTAATATTATACTATGTAATATTACGGTACCTTTATTGTTTTGAGTTAAATTTATCATTTATCCTTAAAACCCACCATTTCTTTTTTTCATTGAATTTATTTAAGGTTGCATTTACAGCAATGGTAACTAGCGACCGTTCTTTTACTATAACAAGTAAAGGATTATATTGACTACTGTAATCTTGCATCTTTTGTAAAATGTATAGTATTCTTACAGATTTCACTGTTCTTTAAGTCTCGTTCGAGTTGTGAAGATAATTCGTTCCTGTGTTTTATGCGTTAGTATTTGGGGCATTCGGTTAGAATATGCTTTATTAATTGTGTGGCCTCATAGGTGCCTCTTTAGTAGTACTTGGTCTATGCGGTTTAATTTGATGTCGGAAGAACTTTGATGTACATACATACGTATATATCGTGATACTAGTATTGCGTGAATAATAGTTATTATTTAATATTATACTATGTAATATTACTTACCGAATTAATATTACGGTACCTTTATTGTTTTGAGTTAAATTTATCATTTATCCTTAAAACCCACCATTTCTTTTTTTCATTGAATTTATTTAAGGTTGCATTTACAGCAATGGTAACTAGCGACCGTTCTTTTACTATAACAAGTAAAGGATTATATTGACTACTGTAATCTTGCATCTTTTGTAAAATGTATAGTATTCTTACAGATTTCACTGTTCTTTAAGTCTCGTTCGAGTTGTGAAGATAATTCGTTCCTGTGTTTTATGCGTTAGTATTTGGGGCATTCGGTTAGAATATGCTTTATTAATTGTGTGGCCTCATAGGTGCCTCTTTAGTAGTACTTAGTCTATGCGGTTTAATTTGATGTCGGAAGAACTTTGATGTACATACGTCGTTTCTAACATAATGTACAATAGTTTAGTGCTTCCTGTGCTTTGCTATTATGTACTCCATAGCTGTTACTTTTGTGGTGATTGCTTTTTTTTTTACTTCTGCTTTTGTTAGGAGTATTTCGGTAATTATTTGGAATAGGGTCCTCGGCATCGATTTCAATGATCTTGAAATATGTTATCAAGGTCAACATTTTAAACAACTTTTCCCTATATGTACATGTTACCGCCGGACTCCTTTAGTTTTCGAGATATTAGTGCCTTTTCTCAACTTTGCCATTTCATTCTAGTTTTTTTTTAGCCTTGAAATATGTTGACAAGGACGTCATTTTGTTTTTATTAACGATAATATAACAATATATGAACTTAAAGATCAAACTTAACCGATTTCAATGATTTTGAATTTGAGCATGTATGGCCAGCTGCCTGGCGATGCGGCGGTCGGGATATTAACCTAATCTAACCTAATCCATCGATTAGGTTAAGTTATATCAGATAAATATCCTGACCGCCGCCAGGCGGTCGGTCACTCAAGCAGGAAGATGTTGAGTTTTAAACTTCCCCAAACTTACAGCACTAGGTAAATGTGTAAAGTATTTTGCTTTATTTGTTTCTTTCACGCGTTCGTTAAGATCACTGTTGTATAATGGCCACGTTGCGATGGTCAGATGAACCCGTTAATAGTCAATTAATAATGAACGTTGCCTGTCGCTCATTTATATTTACTAACGCCTAGAAATCGAAACCCAAGAGAAAAAATCTTTACGTCAGTTGGGATTCAAGTCCTGGTTGGGCGTTCTCACGCAGTTTCGACGTTTCGTAGTTCTGGCGGCGGGGATTTGGCTGGGGAGTAGATACGAGCTAAATGGAGATATAAAACGAAAGTGCTCTGGATGCCCCAAAAGGGGTGATTCACACTAGTTGTCGCTCACTTACCAATGAACAAATTAATCTTAAATTTATTTTTCTTAATTTTACGTTGTTCTGCAGTAAGGATGCTGACTGCTGAGAGATTAAGTAAATAAAGCCAAACATAACTCAAACATAACGTAAACATATACTAAGCTCAACGTAAACTTCTCCCAAACCTATAGAATATGATTTCCAACATTGAAAGTATTTTTGTGTGTATCTTAAAAACTAAAGAAATCCGGTGGTAACATGTATAAAGAAAAGTCGTTTAGAATGTTGACCTTGACAATATATTTCAAGGTCATTGAAATCGGTGCTGAGGACACTATTCCCAATAATTACCAGTATTTCCTTTTCTGATAGTGGAAGCATTATTGCTCTTTTAGCACCATCATATGCTCTTTCCTTGCCTATTTTCGTTGTTTGCCTTTTCTAATTCTTCCTGAATCGCTTATGAGCCTGTTTCTGGTGTAGGTGTTTTCAATGTCTATTATGACGCTCAGTGGATCGAAGAAGAGAATTCCTTATTTGGCCTGTCTTTGTTGAAAAGAATATAGGGCGCTATTTATGGTGAAGGCTTCGCAGGAGAAGATGGAAAATTCATCAGGAAGTTTGAATAAGTAGTCGTCCTCTTCTATGATTACCGCGTAGCCAGTGTCTTCTTTTGTTTTGGAAGCATCAGTAAATACTTTGGTGTGATTTCGGTAGTTTTCATATATTTCATTGTATAGTGTCATAAAATGTTGCGGGTTATTTGTTAATACCGGATGAGTGGTCGTGCAGGAGAATGGGATGCGAGGTGTATGGGTGTATAAATATTTTTCTTAGCATTGCTTCTTCACGGGTAATTCCACGCCAAATCGATCACTTTTTGACGTCGACATCAGGGATTTTGTTATAAATGAAATATAATGTAGTACATGTGAAATTGGGGCGGGGGGAGGTTAAGTCATCATTTAGCTGGTTTCGAATTTGTTTAAAAAGTACGGAACTTTGAATTTGGCAATTTTTGCCCATTTTTATGAAAACCGGCTGTGCTTATCAATTTTTATCTCGAAAAGTAGTGGTCGAATTGTGTTCATTTTTATTTTGTTTTAATCTAGAAGAATGGTCCTGTTGTAATAATATTTTTGTTATTTGAAAAATTGATTTTATAATACTGAAAATTATAAACAAATTCTTATTTTGTAAATTTCACTGTGATGGGATAGAGGTGTTCAAATTAAAAAAGAATATGGTTACATTCCTTGAAATTCTACCTACAAAATGAGTCCTTTTGCAGTATAGAGACTTTAAAATTAGCGTCACAAGGAGCTGGAAAAGTACTTACCGGTGTATCCTCGTTTCAAGTAAGCGGACTGCGCGCTCTGCTATTACGGTAATTACGGTCGGTTATCTACGTATCTCAAAATATTTTTTTATTCCGAAACAGAGTGGTTTAGGAAGTTTGGAGTGTTTATTATGGCTTGTTTCGAATTTATTGTTGATAATGCTTTCATATGTCAGATTCTGTAGAATGGATGATAGGATGTTAGCGTACTGTAGACAAAGCTTGTTTCTTTTAAGGTATAGTGATGGTTCACCCTGTTCTGCCAGGATGCTGCTTCTTCGGTATGAAGTTCCTATCTCTAGTTTTAAAGGTTTGCATGTAATTTAGTATATTCAGATGCTATTCTTTTGCTGCGTCATATACATAAGTACTACCGCTCTAGAGTTTAATTTAGCTAGGATAATTGCGGTGTAAGTTTTGATTAGAATATCTTTATCTGCGGCCCAGTTAACTGAAGTGGGAGTTTTGATGATATTCAGCTTGTTTTTGTACTCAGTTCTTAATTTTCTTAGATGAGGGATCCAGGTGAGTTTGTTGTCAATATACATAAGTACTACCGCTCTAGAGTTTAATTTAGCTAGGATAATTGCGGTGTAAGTTTTGATAAAAATATCTTTATCTGCGGCCCAGTTAACTGAAGAGGAAGTTTTGATGATATTCAGCTTGTTTTTGTACTCAGTTCTTAATTTTCTTAGATGAGGGATCCAGGTGAGCTTGTTGTCAAAAGTGAGTTCCAAAATGGTGAGCTAGTTCGTGTGTTCTATAGGGGGATTATTTAAGTGTAATTTTATTCCATGTGTTTCTGTTTTGGCTCTTGAAAAATGTGTGAATATTGTTTTTGATGCAGAGAATTTATAGCCTGACGTTTTGGTCCATTCGTGTAACTTATCAAGACATTTTTGTACAAGCTTTCATATTGTTTCTCGATCTTTTTGCTGCAAACGATTGTCAGATCGTCTGCAAATAGTAGGTCCTTTGCTGATGGAATGATACGTTGTATGACAACATCAATTGCCACTAGGAATAGTAAGGCAGTGAGAATTAAGTCTTGAGGAATCCTATTTTCCATTTCTACTCTTTCGGAGAGGTTGCCATTTGCTTTAACACGAATATGTCTGTTTCTTAAAAAGTTCGTAACAAATAGAAGTAGGTTTCCATGATTTTCCCAGTTTGTTAGTATTTGTTCGTTTATATTTAGTCTCTCTAGGCCATATCATATTCCTTTTCGATGTCCATCGAGACTACGATAGTACGGAATATATTGACAAAGGTGTTGCTAATGAATTTTTCGAGGTTTATTAGACGGTCATATGTTGATCTATTACATCTAAAACCACTTTGGTAGTTGGATAATAGGTGGTTTATTTCTAAGAACCAACGGAGTCTCTGACTGAGTACATTTTCAAAGATTTTGCGCATTGTACTCGTTAAGACTATCGGTTGATAATTTTAACTTTCGAAATGGTTTTTCCCTGGTTTAGGTATTGGAATTACGATGGTTTTTCTCCGTAGCTCTGTAAATTCTTATGTTCGCCAGATCAAATTGAATAGGTTTCTTAAATGTTTGAGCCCGCTTGGCGGGAGGTTTTTTAGGAGAATATTAGGTATGTCGTCTGGTCCAGGGCTTAAGTTTCTTGTGTTTTATGATATATTGAACTTTTTTATACAGGGTGTCCCGTAAAGAGTGTAACACCCGGGAATGGGGGGTTGCTGGGGTGACTCTGAACGACTTTTTCCTTTACCAAAATGTTGGTTGAAGCTTCGTTTTTGAATTATTAACGAAAAACACTGGACAATCAATTGAATTTTCATGCGTATGTATAATTGACACAGATCTACAAAACGTATTTTTTAGATTTTCATTTCGAGCTCAGATAAAAAAGTTGTAAAAACGACCTTCGCTATTTTCTTCGCGATTCAGACTAATTGTAGTTTTTTCAAAAATTTATACAAACGTCGGAATGACGGCGAAAAACCATTTCTCTAAGCCTTATAAAAACAGCAGTGCAAAGTCAAATTTTTTTGACAGCGATCGAGAACCGAGAAGTCACGCGTACGCATTTGTTCTCCGCCTCTGTTCTCCGTCAGTTCGGCCGTCCCTGAGCGCGGGCTCTACGCGCGCTCTGATTGGCCAGTGTTTTTCGTTAATAACTCGAAAACGAAGCTTCAAACTGGATTTTGGAAAAGGAAAAAGTTGTTCAGAGTCACCCCAGCAACCCCCCATTTCCGGGTGTTCGAGGAGTTACGGGACACCCTGTATATAGAAATAACATAGTAACCATCTGTTTAGTATGGGTGACGATATGTTTCTTTTTCTCAGCGTCTTGTCGATGATTGCTTTATCAATTGCGTAGCGACGTGCCTTCCTCGCGTCTCAAAATAAAGAAGATTCATAATTAAAATAATATATTTTAATTTATTACCATAATTCTAATAGTTCCATTCCGCTTGTTCTTTGCATATCTTGTTCGTCTTTTCCGTCACATGATGCTATAATCCGATTCGTAGACGTTAGCATTTTGGCCCATAATGAAAACACGTACGCTTTGTCTTTGCGTACGAAAAAAAAGTATACATATTATGACCAATCGATCCCATGTTTCCTTTAGGTTGCAACTTTTTAGCTCCGTACGCTACCTGATGTGTGGAACGAATTAGACAGGTAAATACGAATACACCAATGAGGAAAGTCTTGGGAAAGCTTTACAAGAGGAATGGTTAAATGTAACACCCGTGTTGCGTCGTGCGCTTCGAACAAGCGGTACGTTCGAGAGTGGTGGCGCAGGATTGTCGCTGGTTCGTGGTGTGGTGAGGTTGCACGTATTTTATTATGTTAAATGAAAATTTTGGCGAGTGGTAGTCCATTTTCCCTTTTTGATCTGATGTGCGGCCGCGTTGGTGCGCTTATTTATAAAAAGGTTTAGGGGTATAAGGTGGTGGTCGCCGCCAATGGGAACGGGTCTACCCCCTTGGACGGTCCTCCCTGGCCCGCGAGCATGCCGCCCACCCTGGAATTTCCAAGTTGGCAGGGTGGTGGTATTTCGCGATGGTGGGGGAGTAAGGCCCAAGGGGTAGCCCGCGCGTAGTGGGACTTTGGGCGGTCAGGGAGACGCGAGAGGTTTTATGACATGTCTATGTCTATTGAATGTTCACGAGTGGGCACCGGGAAGGTATATGGCCCGCAGAAAAGTTATTTTTCTGCAGCCATAAAACGCTTCCTGGGCTTCGTGGCCAATTTGAAAGAAAAATTAATTAACGCGAAGAAGAAAAGAGGCGCATTCAAAAATAGCGTAAACAGGCGTCCATGTCATAAACCCAATCCCTAACAGAACCTATTAGGTTGAGTAAAAAGTCCGTTCGCGTTTCCTCACAAGAATATAAAGTTTTGTTATTTTAATATCAGACTTACCTAATCAATGAGATATGTACCATTGTGCTGTATGACCTTTTCCCATCTGTTTGGTAACTTAAATATTCCTTCTGCATAAAATTGTGTTTTTTCATTAAAAAATTCAGATATATGCATTTTGCCTTGGACGTTGTTAGTGGTTTATATCCTGGCTTAGACCAATGTTTACTCCGTTTTCTATTATCAAAAACAATCCATTTTTCATCACCAATGATAAGTTATTTTAAAAAATGGCGATCTTTGTACCGCTTTAGCAATGAATCGCCAAATCGAAATGCGGTCGTGCAAATTCTTTTCCATTAGCTCATGCGGGACCCAAAACGTCGTACTTATTCGTCGTTCCAAGCTTTTTCAAATGCAAGGAAATTAATTTTTGCGAAATATTTAATATGTTTGCAATCTCTCTAGTTGTGTACCTTGGATTTTGTTCAATACAATTTGTAATTTCATCATCATCGATCTCTTTTGGCCTGCCACTTCGTTTTTTTTTTGTTTTCCACATTGAAATCTCCACTATTGAATCTTTTAATCCACTTTTGGATGGTACGTTTGTTAATAGCATCTTCACCATACACATCACAAATTTTTTTTCTCATTTCTTCAACATTCTTCTTCTTTCGAATATAAAAAAGGATTAGGTGCCGAAAATGAATACTCTGTTCGCTCATTTTTAAACGCTTATGACTCGAATAATATTGAAAGAGAACTGCCTAATACTGAACGCAAAGCATCTTTAGACTGTACCTAATGAGACACGTTTATCAAAAGCAGTCAAAATAAGAAAGAATATCAGATAACATTACCGAGAAGAGCGAGCCGCCGTAATATTGAACAAAATAAATAATGTAAAACATTTGTATTTTAGGTACGATGAAAACTTATTGGTTAGAGAAAAGGGAGCACAGATCATCGTCAACGAAGGGAATTACTATTCAAGAACCACCCCAATGGCATACAAGAAATACCGAGAAAAGGGTTTCAGCAGGGACGCCTGCTGGTTTCACAGCAACGTCTATGTTTGAAAATCAAAAGTGTTTGGATACGTCTTCTAGGAGAGGTTCCAAGATAGCTTCCCCGACACCTCCAGATTCATTGTTTTTCACTGAAGAAAGACGAATTTATTCGCCTATTACATTTCAAGACGTTGCTCGAAGATCAGTTGCGAATTCACCGACGAAAAATAACGATACAAGAGGTAAGTGAATAAGTTATTGAATAAAATTCGTAATAAATAAGAATGAACAGACAAGATATAAAAAAATTAATATTAAAACTTCGAAAATAAAAGAATGTAATAACTAGA